CAAGTCGCAGGGGCAGGAGTGTTCCACCTTTGTACAAACCTCCTTGAGAGCATCCAGATGCCTCCATTTTTTTTGTGGTGGAGCATTTTCACCTCAAGGCTATGGCAAAGCCGCTCAGAATTCAGCACTGAGCGACTACCGCTGTGGACTCTGGACCGGAATTCCCCAGAGCTACGTTCTAAAGGAGCCTTTCCCAACTGAAGTGAACGCTGGCGAGACTGACCTCCTGTATTTCATCTGGGACGGAAGAATCCATCAAGCGAAACAATAAATTCCGAAGGGGGCCTGCCTGCCTGCCAAGAATGCTGGTAGCCACTCCGCCAGCCAACGCGAGAGCAAGGTGGTTAGAGAGGAGCTTCAGACACAGTTTAAGGAAGTTGTGGTGCTCCCTGCAAAACAAAGTATCACCATTAACTGAGGATTTTCTACTCTAACTGATTCTTCCTCTCCACGTGCTGCCTTTCTTTAAAAATGGGGTTCCCTGTTTGACTTAACTGCTGAAAGCATGAACAGGGGAACCCTTTCCCCAAAATACCAGTGGGCCTTGCTCTACGTTGCATGTTCATGTTACGCTTGAAACAGAAATTAGCAAATGTTCTCTTCAGCTCAACAGAAAGGCCTTCAACTTTCCACAGAAAAGTCCACACGTTACAACCGAAAAGGATTTCTATCACTTAATCAGAAACAAATCTTTAAGGAATTCTAGCTCTGCATTCATGATAAAGCAAAATTAAGATAAATTCTAGTCCTGAAAATACCAGCTAAGGCCATTCATACTAGTAATGATCATAACAACAGAAGCAGCCAACATACACTTAAAATCAAGATTTCATGCACCCCTGATAAACAAGTACCTTGAGGAAGGAAAAGGAAGAGGAGGAATCTCACTGTTAATTTTGTCACAATACTGCTCAAGGAAAGAACGGAGATGTGAGAAGGTACTTTCTTCAAGATCCACACAATACGGCCTATGCCAGGCAACCACTTGCCTGCAATCAAACAAGGAAAGGTTAAGGAACAAAAACACCACATCACTCTAACAGAACTAGGCGAAGGGCAACAAGATAAGGGGATCTGATATGTAATGCAGTCAAGTTCTTCCGAGCTGCGCTTGACTCTTGGCAACACAGCAGAAGGGGGTGCCACTGCCTTCTTCCAAGGCTTCAACTGCCCAGTCCAGCCTCCAAACTGGCCCTGCTTCGTTTTTTTGAGGTCAGTCACGGTTAGCCAGAGCTTGCTCACTAGCAGAGCTATGCAATATAGTACTTAGAAGCAAAATCTTTCCAGGGAAGAAATCAAGCCTCCTTTTAATTCTAGCCAGTTCTAATTCTCTTTTACATGCACTGCTAATAAAGTCATCCCTGTCTATTCCGATCTAGATACTTTTCTGTGCTGGAAACTGGTGCTACTAAGATTTTTGATGCCGCTACCACTTTTTCCCCAAAATCCTTATGGTAGCTTGCTTCTGTGCCTGAGACACAGAAAGAGTGGTTCAAAAATAAATAAAGGCAAAACTGAAATTCTGCTCTAACACTTTAAAAGAACATAGTCAATGCAAAATCACACTGTATTTATTTACCACATTTGTAGGCTGCCCCCTCAAAATGACTACATGCTGAATCATCCCTTTAATCCATTACCCACACATTCAATTTTTCTTTTCCCTTCGGTTGTGCTGGAGTTGAGAGACTTCTCTTGATGAATAAGCAGCATAACAGTGTCACAGAACAGAACATCTTGCTGCTGTTAGTCCTGTGCTGGAGGCAAATTATAAAAGGAGAATGCCGAGAGACACTGGCAACTAAGGAGTTATAAAACACACAAAGGAAGTTTGGAAAATCAATTAAGGTCCCTGGTGAAAAGGAGTCACAAGAGGAAAAGGCACAGTGCTCAAAAATATCGAGCACTTTAATTAGGTGTTGGCAACAGAAACAACACAGCGTTATTTATCACACAGAAATGCACACGTGCACTAATTACTTGCCTATCTCTGGGAAGGGCGGTCCAAGCCAGACTATGTGATGTTCCAGCTGAAATCTGCTGAATGGCGACTCCATCTAAACCACTCACTTTCTTGGGCTTAGTGATGGGGCCAGTGGAGTTTCCTTGGCCACACTGCCCCATGGAATTGTTCCCCCAAGCATAAACTTCATTATCTAAAGAGAAGCAGTTCAAGATCATCACAGAAGCCTCCAATGTCAAGCTCAGTTTACCTGGAGTACGACACGCACATCCTATCTTACCATGCGAAAGTGCCAAGCAATGGCTGTCACCGATGGAAATGTCCACGATCCGGGTGGCAGCCAGTTCTTCAATCAGCTTGGGTCGGAGAGCCGTGGCTTCTGAGGAGCCACATCCTAAGCATGCCCCACAGCCCCAGGCAGATACCTGGATCAAAGGGGTACAAAGGATGTTAAACCTCACAGTTCAGAGTCCATAAGCCCCCACTACAACCCAGACAGAACTCTGACACTATTAAAGGTATCTTGCTCATTCAGTTGACAAGCTGCAGCTGATTAAATCTGTACAAAGACAGACACTGGCTCTGAAACTAGCAGCTGCATTATGTTTCCAGACAGGGTCTGCCTATGTCATCTGCAAACAAGAAAGACAGATGCCAACTCTGGGTACATATCAGCTGCTTAAAACTAGGAATATGAATTTTATTGCTCGGTTATGCTTTAAGGCTTGGTTCTCTTATCGATTAGTCTTTGTGTGCCACTTTGGGTATTTCTGAAATAAACAAACATTAAAAAGCTCTTTATCAAATAATTTCTTGCCAGTTTTGTGAATAGTTCCAACTTAAAGTGTGCAGGGAAAGAAGCTTTAGAAACCTAAGTACATTTTCCTTTTTTTCCCAGGCTGCTGCACTCCTGGGAAACCCCTTCAAGAAATTCATGAAACTGTTTCTGAACTAGTAACTCTTGTGTTCTCGATTGCAAACTGCTCCTGCTTACTTGTCCAGTTGATGTTAGAGCAAGCGAAGATTGACTTCCAGCGCAAACTTTCCGTATGAACATCCCTTGTAGAGCTTCTATCACTTTGGGTTTATACACTCTGTTGGTGTCTCCGTGACCCAGTTTGCCTGTTAGGACCAGAGACAGGGGAATTTACAGTCTGCAGATCAAGGGGTATGCAACTGACATATATCTAAAATAACCTGCCAGTTTAAACTACAAATATTTAACCATAATATTACAACTTAGCAGCTGCATCCAAAGCAAACTGCAATGACGCTAAAATGATGAGACGTAGGGGCGGACATAATCATACAAATGCTATCGTTTTGTGCTTGCATCCTGACGTCTGATACAAATATGCAAGTCACAGCAGGTCATTTGTTCTCCTATCCCTCCCTCCCCCCACCCCCCAGTCCGGGATCACAATAACTTTACAAAGGTTTTTCTCTAAATGTGCCTTAGGATGTGAATCATCACATCACATTATTTCACTTACTGAAGAAGGATCCATAAAACCCCTTTCCAGTATTAGAAAACCTAAGAGAGCTTCTAGCATGTGCAAAGCTTCAGACTCCAGCAGAAACTGAAATGCAGCCACAGATTTAAGATCGTTGCAGGCAACCGTGTTTAGCTTCCCTAGCTACAGGCCAAGCTCCTCAATGGATTAGCTGCACTGGTAGTTTCAGCTGTGGCCAAGTGCCGTGGCCACATGCTCCTGCTCCCTAGTTCGCATTTAGCCAGAGTTCCCACCTATGTCCTAAGTGGGCATCCCTGGTGGGTCAGTTAGTGAACCAGGATAAAGTAGGACCTAATATTAATTGATATCAAGCTAGCTATTTCCCGTCTGGATATAACAGGGACTTCTAGCTAAAGACAAACCAGGATCCCTCTGCTGTGCCAGCATGAGACAGAATCAGGAGAGTGGGAGAGGACTAGGCACCTATTGTATTTATTTATTTTTTTAAATTGCTCTGCAACTGAATACATTTATGATTTATGATGGCTTAAAGCTTGACAAACATTTCTGTAGATGAAGACAACTGTCCAAATACGACCGTTGGCTTTTTCTGGCAGAACAGTGGGCAGAAAGGCAGGACATAACATGGAAATGGAGGGCTGATCATTCCCTCCCTCAGTTACCCCTTAAGCCCAACCTGTTTTAGGAAAAACAAAGTTGTTACCATTATCTCCTCCTCCAAAAGACCAAACTGTTCGCCCATCTTTAGATAACGCTATGGTGTGTGAGCTGCCGCAGGAAACCTCTCCAACGTTGCTAATATCTTTTACTAAAGTTGGAATGTTACGGCTGTTGCTATCACCATGACCTTGTAAGAGGAAGCAAAAGGGGTTATTCTGCAGGCTTTTGTCACTCTATGCCTTGCCATTATACCAAACGTCCCCTAGAATCAGTTTTTAATCTGCTTTAAATGCATTCTTTTTTTCTTAATTAATGCCGTGAAAAACATGTGGAGAATGAGATTATTCCTCTTACCCAGTCTGCCAAAGTCTCCTTCTCCCCAGGTGTACAATTCACCATCCTCTGTAACAGCAGCACTGTGCCGGTAACCAGCCGATACACAAATCACTACCTAGATAACATGGGAAAGAGTGAGGACCCATTCGGGTACTCTCCATCCACTCTCAAGGTGTCCACAAAAGTTCTCAAAGGAACTGGAACAAAACACCGACTGTACTTTAAATGACCAACGGTCAAACCTCCATATGCTGCTCCCAACCCAACATTTCTCTTTCTGTAGTAACAGCAGAAGCAGCAGATCCTCTCTCGCATCAAACGACCACATTAACCCTTGCCAGATGAGTCCGTGCAAAGAGCAGCACAGCCAGAATAGGGGAAAATGTCAAGTCTCTTCCACAACAAATTTAGAGAGGAAAGCTAACGAAATTCTATGGGACCCCAAGCAATACTGCTGCTTCTGAGAAATATGGCTGACCTGCAAAGTTTAAGCAGGAAGCACAGGAGACTGGAGCCATCCCACAATCTTTGGTTACACGGTTTTGGGGATGCATTTTAAAGCAGTGGGCAGCACCTAACCTTAAAAGTGCCCTTCTCCACATCATGGACGTAGACTGTGAGGAAAAAGTGGAGTGTGAGGGGGAGTGTATTCTGTTATTTGTTGGGAGTATGTCTACACTTGAGTGTTGCAACTCTGCTCCAATCCATTTCTTAAGGAATTATACTACTGAAATTTGCAAAAGAAAAGCTGAAAATTTTCAAGGAAATCAAATGAGCCCTTAAATTCAACAAAGAGACCTGGGAAGCCCAATCAACCATGGGAATCCCAAAGTTACTGCCGGATAGCTGCATTCCAAAATACCCAGCCAATGCCTTGGACTTTCCATAAAGGTCCAGAAGTGACACTGCAATGCCATTGCTCAGAGCAGGCTCAAAAGGAAAAGCCAATATAAGCATCTCCTGCCATTCAGATGCCTTATTCAGTATCCTGAGTGAACTACCTACAAACCAGCTGTTTTACTTTTGTGGTTTGAAAGGGCATTTTCTTGTTGCGTTTTTAATGCACGGTAAATAAACATGGGGGAGACAGAAGGTAGATCTGGATTTATAGGTATCTGTGCAATTTGCAGGAGATCAGCAAAGTCTTCCAATTCATAATTATTAAACAACAGCAAAATTCCAGGACATGCGTCCTAATGCTAACCCTTATTTGGCCTCTCATGCTAGTTCTCCTTTTAGAAAATATTTTAGCTCCTAGCAGATGGAGAAGCTCCTGAACAATCTGGGGTACAAAATGGTGACATACACAAAAATGCTAAAATAGAGAAATAAAAACCTTAGCAACATGAACATTCTGAAAGAACAGAGACAGAAAGTTGGTTCATCAGTATAACATACCTTTCCTTGCAAAGGGCCCTGTATGAGTTTAGGGTATTTCTGTGTGGAGCTATTTCCATGGCCCAGTTTTCCATAGTCACCATCCCCCCAGCTGAAGACCTCTCCTTCTGTGGTAAACGCTAATGTGTGGCCATCAGAACCTTTTGAAGATGACACCTTTTTGATTGATCGGTGAGGCTCAAAAGTCAACTTCTTCAGAGTGGACTGATTGTTGGAATCACCCAATCCTAACCTGCCGTAGCTGCCTTTGCCACAAGCTCGAACAGAGCCATCTGTGGATATTACAAAGGTACAATACTGACCAGCTTCAATCTATGGTGGGGAGAAAATGAAAGAACATTAAATATCAGCAGCTGCGTACATATCAGAACCACAGCACATTTTATAGACCAGGAATTATAAGCACGTAGGACTTTTCGAAAAGGCTCTAGAAGCCGTTCAACAGTGAAACCATCATCTTTTTTTATTAGACTGAGCAACCTATCCCCACCAAAGACACTCACTGTCTGGGCATCAGAAAAACTTGGAGCCAATTTAGGCTGGAGGATTTTCTCCTGGGTCCCTTCCACAAGTTGGTGGCTGCTGTTGCTACCCCAAACATACACTTCACAGGTTTCCGAAACAATGGGAGTGTCCCCAGTCTGGATGCTATCTGGACTGGCACAGGTCCTGGAGTAGTCCGAAGCCATCCGGCACACCTATTAAAACAAACAGGCCTTACAGGAAACATCTGCAGGCAATTATCAAGCTGTCCTATTAACTCAAATGAACCATATACATCGGCCTTTCCCAATCTGGCGCTTGCCATATTGTTAGATTTCAGTTCTAGGAATTCTCAGCTGCATAGCTAAAGTCTGGGGAACATTTGATGGCGGAAGATTGGATTAGATGATTCACTTCAGCCCCCTTTTCTACGTCATGCATAGAAGTCCACTGGCAAAATTAAATAGGATGAGTCTGTTAAGATATAACTATCTTTTAAGTTTCAATCTGGATTTCTATACTTAGTAGGAGGGCAACTAAAAGGCTTAAATGACCCTTTCCAACTCTACAATGTCTAGCTTTTCACTCCCCTTTTGTAAAGTTGGGGTTCTCATACCCTTCACAAAATATACATCATTATATTTCAGGACAACCCCCAATTTCAACCAAGAGTACCCCGAAGACTCTTCTCCAAAATGGAAGACTAAGGGCTATCTGTGGCTGTCCCTCACATGCAGAAGTCAAATCCATTTTTGTATAGGCTAAGCAGATGCAGGGCCGCTATACCTGTGTTCGTTTTAATGGTTTTTTTTTAATTTAAAACCAGGCCGGAATTCAATAAATATAATGTCTTCAATATTCTATAACGGTTAATCACCTTGAGTCTTGGGAAGGAGGAGGACAGAAATTCAATAAATATTGAAATAAAATCATAAGAGTCAAAATACATGGAATCAAGGACACATACTAAGCTTTCTTCACACTTTTAAAGGAGTGAGAAATTCACAACTGGAAAAATGTGAAACAGGCTTTTTTCACCTTTAATTTATGACTAGGCAGACATACCTCCTCGAAGAGACACAATGCTGCCTCATAGAGAGAGCACAAGCCTTCAGAGGTTCTTGTTGGCTCTCTCCACTGACTCCGGTCTGCAGATGATCCCTGTAAAGTAAGTTATGGAAGTGATTGAAATATAACCACACACATTTAAAAGTACATAAAAATATCTTGCCAACCAAAAAGCAGAATATTTCCCCAAATAAAACAGGCTAAACACAGATTTATTTCCTCAAAATAACAGCACTTTATTATTTTTGCAAGGTCTCAAAAAATTGTATCCATCTTCTCCAGCATTTTATTTTTATTTTATTTTCACAACAGAATACTTATATTTTCATTTGCTTCTTCTAAATAAGGGAGAGGCAGAACTATGGGCATGAATGTCTCAAGCTACTAACATTAAAAGAAAATTATTTTTTCTAGCTGTTACTAACTAGAAAATAAGTAGAAACATCTACCAAATAATTAGGAATGCCTACACAGTTATAAGCTTCCACTGATGCTGTTCTGTCTATTTCATTTAACATTTTTATTGTGCTTTCTTATGTAAAAGGCATGTCAAATCAGAATGATTGAAATTAGGACCAAAAGCAAACATTTACGCTAGGTTTAATCAACTCTTCTCAAAACTGTTCTATATCCTATATTATGACATCTCTAGTTGCAAATAAGCTATGAATTCCTAGACTTTATTTCATTTCATATGAGAGCAATATATACATACCAATGATCGCCTCATTTGCATTAGGATAGTCATGAAACAATCAAAACTGATCATGCCTTCTGGAGTCTGCAACAGTTTGTTCTTCTCCATTGTGTGGACCACAGCTGAGGCGCTTAGGGCCATCTCAATCCACTCCAAGAGATACCGCAGCGAGCCACGCTGAGCCGCCAAGCCAAGAAGCAGCTCAGAGGCCAACCTTCGTCCAAGAGTGTCTGCCCCAGAGTTGGGAATCGTTACTCCTTTCAGAAAGACTGTGACTTGAGAGAGGCAGTCCAGGCCCATGGGGGGTATCTTACTCTCATTAGCTAGAGATAAAGGAGGCAGCGAGCTGACCACCTCTATTGCAGTGTGAATGACGTCATTGCAAAGGCTAATCCCAGGTCCTGCGGCTGGCATCATCCAGCTTTGCCTCAGCAGTGCAAAGAGCAGGCTCAGCCCAGTCCGGACCCCCATTTCTATGAGAGCATCCGTGCTCGACCTCGGCCTCTCGCTGACAGAATGGATGTCCGTGGACCCGGAACTGCTTTCTGGGGAATGCTGCTGCTGCTTCACCCTGCCTTTATCGTGGTACTTGTTGGAAAGTGCATAAAAGATGCGCTGCAGGACCAGCAAGCGCTTGCGAAGCGCCCCAGCAAAGGGAGAGTCTGAGCACACCATCTTAGCCAGAGCCAGCTGGCTGCTAAGAAGGGCATCCAAGTAGTGGTCCTGCTCATCGCTGGACAAGGACTCGCGTTCAAAATCAGGCAGCTGAGGCCCTTTGAGGCAGAAAACCTGCTGAGGCAATGGGACGACTTCTTTATTACTGACTAGTTTTGCATACAGGACCGAGACTCCTTCCCTGGTAGCGATGGATTCACTGTCTTCAGTGATCCAAGAGCTGTTGAGGTGCTCAAGCCATTTCAGTTTCACAGGTGGAACCATGGTAGCCATGTTTGCCTACCGACTGGCCATCAGCCCTAGAAATGGAAAAGGAAAGAATTACTAAACCGTGGCCTTATCGTACCGATACCTATGTTTAGAAAACAGGCCCTGGACTCAGTGCCGTGAATTGCTTATTAGATCAACAAGAAGTTCAGCATGAAAGGGAGCATGAGGCTCTGCAGGAAAAACAACTATGTTTCAGACCAAACATAAACTCATCCATGTTTTCAGGGAATGAATCAGGTCTTCCAATTGCGTCTACATGTCAGTGTAGACTTAACTGGAGCTACGTCCATAAACGCTTCAAGCCAACCAGTAATAGCACAAAAAAAGGGATACGTTCTTAAGAACTGACTTTTAACTGTTAAGGACAGGAAGCATAGATCAGTATTATCAATTATAAATGGTACCTTAATAATAAAAATATCTTCCAAATGTATTTGATATGTTTTTAAATGTTCTGCTCTACTTTTTCACCACAAAAACAGTCCCAAATCTAAGCACAAACCGTTAAAAACAGTTAGTGATATAATAAAACATTTATAATAGCAACAATTTAACAAAGCTTTAAAAAATGTTTAAAATCTAAATAACTTGAATTTTTCCCCCCCAAAACAGGAGAACATTAGCAGACCATATCGGCATAGCACACCAGGTTGATTAGAAGCCCGGCTGAAAAGGTGCATGTCTTTAACTAGTGCCGGAAACTTCAAATGCTTGCTGCCAGCTATAAGACCCTTGCTGGTCAAGACCAATCCAGGCCAGGGCCCCATTTCCAGAGACATCACAAACAAGGGGCAAGAGCTCTCTTCTACTGTTTATCATCCAGAGGCCTCTGAACAAAATTAATTAACTAATTAATTAATATGCATTTGTTTGTTTGTGACCTTTAATTGCGAGCCGCCCAGAGTCACCCGTTGGGTGAGATGGGTGGCATACAAATTTAATAAATAAATAAAGTACTTTTTGGTTTTGATTGTCGGTAATCATGGACAGATCTCTCTCTCACTCACCCACCCACTCCCAATTTCTTTATACTGGCAAGACTGTTAAATGGATTCCACTAGAAAACTTGAGCTGGTATTTACACAAGTTTTGACAGTCACTTACTAAATCTGTCTAGCAAAGGAAGAATACTTAATGGACAAAAAACTATTAAGTTCTTGGAAGAAAAAACTGTATTTTATAGCTCTGTTGATGGCACTTATTCTTAAAATTCCTTAATCGTCACCTATATGTTATGTCATTTTTAGCTTGAGGTTTGTCTTCACCCACAAGTTTATGTAAACATATACGCTGATTCCATGGTCCTGCTGCTCCTTTTGCACTTGCCTGTTTCTCCTGACACAACCAAGATGTCACTGATAGAGTCCCCCGTTGTGGGGAGATGGGCGGGGACAAGTCAAATAAATAATAATAATAATAAAATAATAATAGTCCTCATGATAGAGAAAAACATTTTTGGTTGATTCTACTCTGCAAGTGCCACATATGGGGAAATACTGTATCCATCAACTTTAGTTATATTCCCATTTCCTTCATGGAATTTTAATACAGTAGTCTCCTAACTATTAATCTGCACTAAGGCAAAATTTACTTATTTTAAACTCCTGACAAAATGGCAAAGGAACTTGTTTCCTAAATCACAGACCTTTGCTGCTGCAAAGCTCCCTAATCAACTAATTTAGGGATTAAATGTTTTGACCGAGCAAAGCAAGTCACATATTGTGTACCACCCTAGATGCAACATCTGTTTCCCGCAAATTGGGGATTCAGAATCAGCTTGTTGGATTGTCACACGATTCCTCCAGGCAGGAAGGTGGTCCTGTCAGCAAATCAGCAGCACATGCCACCAGTCACAGATGACCTCTCCGAACCCACTCTCTTCTTCCAACCATCTGCCTTCCCAAATCCCTCTTCATTAACTCCTTAAAACTGGATGCTTACTAAGTAAAACACTGATTATTCCTGAGCCTGGTATTTTAAAATGAAAAGGCAGATGTGTGCGTAAGAATTCAGAGCCTCTTTTATTAAACTGCAGCTTCACAGTTGCATATTTCAGAACTCCAATGTCATCCCTGCTGGATTTCCACTGCTGCTGATGAAATACTGTCCACGCAATTAATAGAGGGAAATGCCCACTGATCACAATGGCTGTGATTCCCAAATAGTCATGATAAGACTGTATATTATTCTCCCAAAATAACCCGAGAACTGGCCTTCCTTTATGCAGACTCATTTTTGTCTACTGCATGCATGGTCCTCAAAGAATAGAGACATTCCTCTGTCCAGAGTGACTGACTTCTCTCCTTGACCCTTGTCTTGTTTGGATTAAATCTCAGTGTATTTGCAAGTATTTGTCCCAAACTGTCAATACCACTAAATGGAGAGTTTTTTTGCATTTCAGCTCAAAATCCAAATGACCCCCCAGTTTCCATTAAAAGTGAAAAAGTGAAAGGGATAACAGCTACGGGATGGAGCAGAAATTCCCCAAGCAACATGTTCTGATACCATGGTCAATGGTACTTTTGAGAAATTCAGGAGAACCAAGAGGGTCACTCTCCTCTTTTCCATTCCCTGCTGTGTCATCTGTTAAAGCAACCAAGACTGTTTCCTAAAATGAGAAGTAAATCAGACTGGAATAGATCCACATAATCAGCATATTCAACAGGTTTTTGTTGTTGTTTTTTTTGAAATACTACTGAACACCTTGTGTCAATGATCAGAAACTTTAATCTAAATTAGTTTTTTCACTGGTGGCCTTATTATATGGATAGATACAATGAAATATGGTAATCCTTTATTGAAACTGGTATGTAAAACTTTATATACAGTACGTATATGAGAAGATCTATACATGCATACATACATACACATTCAATTGTTTTGATTCTTTTAAAGCACCCTTTGCAGACCCTGCCTTACCTGTCATATTCTCATTTTCTGGATTAAGAAGACAACAGCACAAATTCCAACTGGATTACTATGGACATTTTAAAAAGGCATTTCAAGTTTTAACTAGGCATGATACACCTGCATGCCAATGCAGACATACACAAACCAACGTGGAAAGAAAACAGATAGTAACAGTTGAAATTAATATTGGAGGAAGATTTATTTTACAGAATAAGAAGATTGCATTTCCCCCCCTGCTTGTTGTGTGTTCTGCATACCAACACCCATGATGAGAACTGCAGAACGAACCACTGTCATACGTTCATTGCTATAGCAACAGTGCTGTAAGGAATCTGAGCCTCAAAAGGCTCAAACAGGACAAGCTTCATTACTTGTCCCGAGTGATAGAGGGTGGGGTGACAGCATAATAACATGTCCAATATTTCCCAGTGTCAAAGGTCTTGCAAAGACTAGACATCAATATTTGGGTATGATACTAAGGGCTGTTCTTGTTCTTTAGGCAATTTTGTACATTTAATTTTTTTCCTTATATACATTATTTTTAAAAGGACGTCCCATAAATAATGTTGGACAGCAAATAACTTGTTGCTATACACTAGATGCAAATAAGGGGGTTATAATCTAGCCATACAGATTTTGTGTAGAACTATCAAAGAAAGAAAAAAAGGATATTGAAGAAGACACAAACACAATTATGTCTCAATGAAAATCATAACTCAATAATAGGCAAAGAAACAGCGGCATTCTGTAATCAAACTGAATGACACTAGACTGCTTATGATGTCCCAGAAGGATGGGCCAGGCTATGCATCTAGCCAAGTCATCTCCTTCTCCTGTGATTCCTTTATTACATCTCCAGCAAAACCTCAAAAGCCACCACATCATCTGCAGAGCAGGTGCTTAAGACATGACCCAGCAACTGTAGGTATCTTGCTTTGCCAAAGGAAACAAGGTTTTTAGATAATAATATAGAGGCCAGAATTGAATAGATACAGGATTACAGCTTCCAACACTGCAGCAGTTCATTAATGACTTTTCTATTAAATATTCAAAGGGTTGTTACAAAGAAGAGGGAGTAGACTTATTCTCTGCTGCCTCCAAGGGCAGGAGCAGAACTACTGAGTTAGCACTTCACCAAAGCTTCAGGCCAGACATCAGGAGGAACCTCCTGACTGTATGAGCTGTCAGTCAGTGGAACAAGCTACCACATGAAGAGGTTAGTTCTCCTTCAATGGAGGTCTTCAAGCAGAGACTGAATAGTCATCTCTCACCGCTTTAGTGAATTGTATGTTGAGCAGGGGACTGAACAAGTATCTTCTTTTTTTTTTTCATTCCATACAACACTATTATCAAATTTATGCTGCTTTAAGGCCATGGCCAAATGATGATATATTAATACAATAACCCCTCCAACAAACGTACGTATGAGTTTATTTACCCTTTCTAAAGAGAATTTTTAATTATGCAAAAAATATTCTAATAAGCAATGGATAGTTGAGATATGCTAATGCAATATAAATCCTAGAGTTCCTATTTCATTTTGACAGACTTGGACTCCAGTCTAGTTGGGCAGCTCTTTTGATTACAGTATCTCATTGGTTGGGATGCTGCCTAACCCTTTATATTTTTTTAAAATTCTCAATACCTAAGGGGAAACTAGACAATACAGGGATCACTGAGCTGAAAGCACCAGTCTCACATCTCTTTCCCCTTTCCACCAAAGAGCAAAGCACGCAACATGTCATCACACTGAGAAAGTCGCACCTTCTACTGATGTTACATTGCATACTGAGAATACAGAAACTCTCAGAAAGAAATTGTAACCATACATTCTCTGAATTATCTAGTCTTACTTCCAGATACCTGTAACTGCATTAGCTCACTGTCATTCCTTACATTCTTAGCTAGCACCTTTTTTCCTCTCTTCAGCCTACCATCAACATTTAGGTCAAAACAAGGAGCCACCTGCTTTTTATTCTGTGAAGTTGCCTCTACAGAAAGGGTGCTACATAAATGAACAAAGCTAATCATTAGCATAGTTACCAACCACTGCTGCTGTACTTTTTATTTTGATTTACAAATTTCTAAATAAAATGCAGGGCCCAATGCAAGAACAAATGCTCCTAATTTAAGCTTCAATGTAGGGCTTAAACCATGTACCTGAAGAGGATATGAACAATGTCTACACTTTCTTATAAAGTGTGCATTCTGTACAAAAGCTTCCCAAAGCATGAACTAATACAATCTTTAAATCTTTCAAGTTCTGTCGCTCAGTGCTACAAGCAAGAGTGCTCAATCACCACCCTTGAAGTATAAAATATGGATACTACATAATACAGACATTTCTTGGCTCCATTCAGGACAAATTCACACAAATGAAAGCAACATTGCAGAAGCCCAAACCAG